TGCTTTGAGAAAGAGGAACCAATACTTAATTGCATTTCAAATCAGTAGAATTTGGTTCAAAATCTATGCCAACTAAGTTCACTTTCTTGCTTACTTTAAAATGTTGTGTTACAATTTTTCTGTTGTTATTAAATTGGCTGAATTTCAAGTTTAAAAATGTGTGATAAATAGTTAATCTGTGGCAGACAATGACATCAAGTTTTATTTGTAAATGACTTTGAATTTTTAAAGGAAATTTCTATTCTAAAAATGAATATTACTCTGATATCTTGAATATACAGTCAAATATCGAAAATCCGTGAACTCCTGAAATCTGTGTTGCCTCTCAAAATATAAACATTCTGTTTATAGGTTCTGGAAACCACAACATTGAATACGAAATATCGAAGAAAAAATACTTACCGTATAATGACATCATAATTACTGAATAATAATGAGTCATAACGGAAATACCAAATTATTGACATCATTGTAAAAGTTTTTTTTTTCCCTCTAATCTACATCGAGGTAAAAAAGCAGACGATTCACTCAATTCTTCTTTCAAGTTAACAATTCATGTTGTTGTATTTTCTGAGCTTTGTTATTTCACGAGATCATTTGGTGTTGTCTTTTTTTAATCTGGATATTTTGTGGATAAATTAAGAATATTTTAAATTTCAGCCCTTTTTAATACAATTACAGATAAGAAACGCACTCATGATTTTACTGCTTGCAACGTTGAGAAATGTAAACACGTTGCATTGACGGTAATGCAAAAAGTGCAAATTCTTCAAAAGATGGAAGCAGGTGCTATTCTTTAGTTTATAGCTGAATCGTATGGAATTGCGACACGATTGTGTATGATATACAGAAAAATAAAGAAAAGCTGTTGAAATTTTATAGCAACAGTGATTCTAACACCGGAATTCGAATCCAGAAGTCTTTGTATGAGGCGAAATCGGCAAACCTCGATGTTGAGTACATATAATAATACAATGAATAATATAATCAATTTATATATGTAATAATAATTTAACGCATATAATAAGTTATTGCAATAATGTATATAATAATTTAATTAAATATATCTAATACGCCTTATTTATTTTGCACTTTTAGTCTGAATATTATGATTTATCTTTTCTGTCCTGAAATCCGCACAACCTCTGGTCCCAAGCTCTGCAGATTTCTGGACTTTGACTATATTTAAAATGTGAATGTATTCAAGATATTCACATATTTTAAATATATTAATTTATTTATTCATATTTTTATTATTTTGAGAAAGCAGAAACAGACTTTTTTTTTAAAAAAAGTGTTTATGCTTTCTCAAAATAATAAAAATGTAAGTAAAATGAAAAATTATTAAAATGTAAATTTTCATTACTTAAGGATATACTTATTTAGTGAATATTTGAGAATTCCAAGGCCAACATAAATTAGAACTTCAAGTGAAGTTATTTTTTCCATACAGTTAAAAATGAATGCCAAATTGAAATGTAAATAGTTGCAAACTGCTTATATGAGTTTCACAAAAATTGATTATTTATTAAGAATTTGAGCAATAGAGTAGTACTGATAGAAAAAGACGAGCATTAATTTTCAGAAAAAAGTCTTAATTTCCTATCAAATATTTGTTGAAACAGTGCTTCCTACATATAAACCTATCATAACGTGAAAACATATAAAATATTATTTAAATTTTGCAGAGTGGCCGACTCAAAGTGTTTTCCCCTTTTTCCTTTGAATATTGTATCCTTTTAATTAGTTTAAGCTCAATTTATTTTTAGGGCTTTGAAATTCTGCATGGCAGTGTATGGAATATTTATGCTTCAGCAGAGTTTCTTTTCTATAAATATTTGGAAGATGACAGTGAATCAAATAAGTGTGCCACAAGAATCGGTTAGAATGCTATTTAGTTTTAATTTTTTCCTTGAAAAAATATAAACAATTAAAGGTTAATTTTGCTTTTGTTTTTTCTTTTATATGTATTACTATAGATGTGCAAAAGACATTTTTAAACTGTTCAATACCAAGCTAACATGTTTTTTAAGTCTTTCTGGTGACAAAGAAAATTCTGTTTGCTATTGACAAAATAAGTATGTGGATTAAGGCTAGATTTTTTAATATGCTATTAATGACTGTTTGAAGACATGAAAAAAAATGAGACCATAAACATTCACTTTTCTTTTTTGTAAGTATGAACTTCTTAAAACTTCATTAAACAGACTTAACATCAATCCTTACTAGAAGTTACATGTAGAACACAGAGTTTTGCATTTCACCCCAGGCAGTTGTAAAATAAAGAGAGTGCAGTTTTAACTGTTTAAACTATTTATTTATAAGTATAAAATACAATATATTACAGAGATTGCAAGACAAACTCAGTTCTGTTTCCACATACATCAAAAGTGTTGCCATTTACTAGGATACTAAATATTAAATGTTGCCATTTATAAATTACTTAATACTACATCTTCCCCCATTTTTTGGAGTTCAAAATTTTTTTTTAAGAGTTTAAAATCAATTTAAGTACTTGGCCAGCCTTCTAATCACTTTACCATTTCTGGTTCTTTGTTTACTGTCCCTTATTTCTGAGTTAGCAGAGTTTGGTATTTAATCTGCTAAACTTTGTCCTTAAGAATATCTGGAATTATATTTTTTTACATCTGTGTTCTGTGCATTAACTCCTTGTTCTGTTCTTCTGATATTCTCTTCAGCAGCTGTTTTCTGTAGTGTCTCAAATGTCTTAAAAAGTTAGAATTTATGTAGGTACTAGTTTTTGCACAAGAAAGTTTTTGGATAACAAAGAAGTTTTTAGGTTTGGATAACAAAAAAGAGAAGTTTAGTGACCACTGGTCTAGATCATAACTTTTGTAAGTTTAACAGCACTCTTTGTAATTTCTGAGGTGCCTTAAAAAGGGGTTTCTTAGTTACGCTTTCTTAAGGTGGATAATCAGTTTCAGCTCTAATACATTTGCCATATATATGAAATTTAGAACTTCCAAAAGTTATATCTAAAAGTTCTTTTTATATCTGAGCATAATTTTTGACTTTTTGTTAGAGTGCTGGAAGCACAAGCAGTTATTTGATTTTCTTGTAGTAAAATAGCACCTAATTCTTCAGAACTTCCATCTATTGAAAGAGTTATATCCTTATTGACATCATAGAATCTCAGTACAGGTGCTTTTACTACCAGTTCTTTAAATGTTTTAAAAACTTTTTGGTGTTTTTCAGTCGAGTGTCAGAGAACATTTTTCCCTAGTAACCCTCTTTATGGTGCATTAATAGTAGTTAAGTTAGGAATAAATTTGGTTAAGTAATTAATCATTCCTAAAAATAGGTGGATAAAGGGATGGACACTTAACTGTATTTGAAAGGTCAGTTCCATGCTCATGTATGGATGGCTTCTGCATGGTTTGATTTCTAGTAAAGAATAAATATCATTCATATATAATATATTTATTAGGTGTACAATATTTCATTAGTTTTCTCTTAATTTCTTTACCTCTTCTACAGAAAATTTATTATATATTTCAAAGGTGTGTGAATTACCATTACATGAAGAAAAGTATTAACTCTCACCTTCTTTTCTTTATTATGTAATCCACTGGCTGCATAATAAATTTTGAGTGACTGCAGCCATTTTGCCAGTCTGAAGCAAGATTTCTATCAAATTTCATTGGCTCTGGTAGTTTTAAATTTTCCATTTTGAGAGCAGAATATGCGTGACACCATATAAAATGAAGAAGGTGCACTTTTAGCTGTTTAAACTACTTATTTATCATCATAGACTATCATATGTTACTGAGAACTGCAATACCAGAGTAGTTATATTTTCACCATCATAACTCTTGCACTGATAAGTTACTAAATAGTAAATATTAATTTTTCTCATTTGCAAATTACTAAATACTACTGCAGTTTTTCTTGGAACTGTGCAAGCTGCCTGCATGAGGTTTTCTCCATTGTATTGTAAATACTCCAATGAACCAGTCTCTGCAAGGAAGTCCACCACAAAGGCATAATTATTAATTAATAATTATGCAAGTTGATAAGAACTAATCTGTGTGAGAGCTGACTTTGGTCACTGCATCATAGCAGTTTTGGTGATAGCTGTATTGTGCTTTTAAATGCATTGCCAGTATTGAAACTTGTACTGTAGTTTTGTGCCCTTTTTCCTACCACCATGTATTTTTTAGCTTTTTTCCCCTTTTGTAAGTTTTTTTTTTGGGGGGGGGGGAGCAAAAATATAAATATTTTTTAATGAAAAATATAAAATTAGATTTCTATTACTGTTTTCTCGGCCGTATTTAGTTTTCCCATTATCGTGTCCATTAACGTGCACGTTTCTTGATAGTAGAATCCCATAACTTAGAAAATAATCCACTGCTTGCTGTTCTGTAGAAAGCAGGTCCCAAATTTTAATATCCTCCACCAAATGTGAGAAAAAAGGCAGCAATAATAGTTTATATTCTTTTTCTAAAAACAATGTGATGTATCAAGACTTAACGGAAGCTGCATCAAATGAAAGCACAGATGTTATGAATGTATTCTCACAGCATACTTATCCATAATTGGTGCTTAATTGCATTGCTTGAACACTGTTTCATAGTTGATGGGATAATATGAAAGTATCACATTTTGATTTTATGTGATGAATAACAGAGTTTATCATTTTGTTTAAACCACTCTTCAGTTCTGTTACATACCAATAGTCCATCTATTAACTCAGTTTTCTTTTTAATTTTTATATTTAGTAAAGTCTAACTACTTCCATGCTGTTTACTGAGAAAATGTCAAATTTTTAAAAAATAGATATGCTAAATAATCAAAAGAAGCCCAAAATATGTGAAAAATATATGGGATGTAGAAATGGATGTATATTGGATGTAGAAAAATACATGATGTTTTATAGATTATTTTATTATTGTTTTAAATTTAGTGACAATCTATTTTTTGAACTTTTAAAAAATTCAAATGAATGATTTTTTGTTGGTGTAACTTTATGACTTTTTTAGCTGTTCCAAACCATAGAAGAGTCTTTTTTAACACTGCTGAGAATTCTAGAAAACTATCAGGATAAGCTATGTGGTAAATATAATTTCATATTGTAGCTAAAGTTTTGTATGTATTTTACATAATTGTATTAGGATGTTATGTATTGTGAATATATAGCATCTTAGAAGTATGTCATATAATCTTAAATATACACTGGAAAAAAAAAGGTAGCACTCAGAAGCAAGTATTGTGCAAGTATTAAGCAAAATCCACGTTAAATTTCTTGAATATTGGCAAGACGTTTCTAGAATTTTTGAAAGATATTATCATAAAATCTGCTGCATCGCAAGATCATGGAAAGATGTGATCCAGATATATTAAAAGTGCTTGGCATAATTTATGACCAGGTACCATATTTCATGGTGAGGATAATGAAGATGATAACCACAAATTTGAAGGCTTTCAGATATTGCAAACCACAGGTGAAAATTTCCAGTTAATGGACTTAGTAAAGAAGTGTGAAAAAGTGATAACAAATGAAGATGGTATAACAAAGTTTTTCATTGTGATCACAATATTCCAATCATCAATCAATTAACAGGCGGCGAAATCTGTAGTATGGTTGGTTCTAGATCCAGAAAATACCACTCGCAATAGTGAAGAAAGTGACAGACAGGTTATTGAAAGCGAAAAAATTTTGATCGACTAGATAGTCAAAATTCTGGACAGAGCAACTACAGGACTTGAACAGTGAACTTTGTAACTGAACAAGAAATTCTGTCTGTCTGTAGAATTGAACAGAAAGTATTAGCACAAAAAACAAAGCAACTTAAGCAATTTACATTCAAAGAAATGTTTAATAAAGTAAAAAAATAAATATTAAGCTTTTTTTTTTTTTGTAAATTTTGATACCTTTTAGATCATAAATACTTCATTATCTCATAAATCACAATTTCATATTTTTAATTTTATAATTTCTACATGTCATCGTACTAGAGTTAAATTGATGATCTAATATCCGGAAAATCCCAAACCTGGAATCATCGAAGTCCCAACAAGTCCGGATCTCGGACTTTGTACTGTACAAAGATCTTGTTTCTTTCCCTTTTAGATATTATTTATACCATCTTTCTACTATTTTGTATATTTAATAACTGGCAAATCTAGCTTTTACTAAGAAATGGGGCTTCTAGTTTCAAAGATGTATTGTACCCTGATTACATGAAGACTTTTATCTTTTATAACCTATGTTTTTCCTTTTCCTCTACTTTGAGCCAGTTCTGTTTTCGTGTTTTAAGATTTTTCAGAGGACAGCATCTTTTAGAAGTTTCTTATGCTGCAGTTTTGGAGATGATGATCACCTTGTTCATTTGTAATAATTTTTGCAGACTGTGCCCAATGTTTGCCACCCCCACACTAAATTTAACAGGATAGGATATTTTGAACACATGTTAGAATACGTAGTTCTGCTATTGGACACTTTGAGCCTTATCACATACTTTTTTCAAGAACTACAAAATTTTTGCTTTTTGAGAATAACCCTGAATTTAACCTTCTTTTGCAAGGAACACAGTTTGGTCATCTTAAGAATTCAGTAAGTTTACGTTAAGGTCTTAAGAATTCAGCAAGTTTGCGTTTTTTTTTCCAATTTTTGTTTCAAATAGGTTTTTAGTTTTTTAAGGCTCAGATTAGATTCTATTATTTACAGAAGTCTGTAATGAAAAGTTTTTCGTTTTCTTGGTATTAAAAGTTTAGCATAATCGATTATGACACATAATTATTGAGTGTTGTTTAAATAACAGTTTGATTTAAAGTATATTTGTTTACATATAGTGTTTTTAAACCAATTTGTTCTTTTGAATGGTCAATTTGCATAATGTAAAGTTATATGGGTTTTTTTAGTAGTCAATTCGCCACATGTAATGTTTTATTCTTTTTTTGAAGTATTTCGAAAGCATGTAGGAAAAATTTTGGATACATTTGAGATTCAATTTTTCAGTTCTATACGAATTTTAATGCCTTAATTGAAAATTTATTTGCGTCTTTTTTTGGTTTTTGATCTCAAATGAACCAGGAGAACAAAACATGTTTTCGAAACATATTAATCGAATTTTATGGAGCTTTAATTTGATTTTCACTGATGAGTTCCAATTTGTGGTTTCAGTAAAAGGAGACTAATTTTTATACCTTTATAAGTTTGCATATTTTTCCTTTTCAAATTTTTATTTTTCGAGTTTATTTTACTAATGAATACTTATTTTAATTTTGATATGTTTAGATATTGTGTTAAACCTCTTATAGACGGTTGCAATTATTAATATTGTTCAGGAATTGCCTTGCTTTGATTCCAATTTAATTTTAACTTTAGATGTTTTAAGTTTATATATATAGGGGTTGGACAAAAATATGGAAACACTGAAATAAAAAAGCATTTCTGTGACTAATATGTTTTTGGAAAACTGTTGACATGCAAAACAGCTTGCAGTTTTCTCAGAATGGATAAATAGAAGTCATGTATGGTTTGTCAGGGAGTGTTGTACCATCCTTCCTATAAAACGCTGGCAAGTTCAGTTAAGGATGCCAGTGAATGCGCTTACGCAGATTTCTTTACAGAATAGCCCATAAAGCCTCAATAATATTGATATCTGGTGACTTATTGACGATGGTAGATATGAAAGCTCAGGTTAGTGCTAAGAAAAATAGTCTTGGACGATATGAACTGAAGCAACAGGAGCTCTATCGTCTTGGAACACAACATCACGATTGGGGAACAAAATTTGTGTCATGGAATGGATGTCATCAGCCAGAATGGTTGCATAATTTTTGGCAGTAATGATGGGCCTCATAGAATATTAGTATGGCTTCTCAAACTGTGACTGAACCTCTGTTATATTTTGCTCTCGGCAGCAAACAGTTTCTATCATATGCTTTGACTTTTGCCAAATGTAAACTCTCCCAGGAGTCGAAAACTGTGGGAAGCAAGACTCATCTGACCAAATGACTGTCTTCTATTGCTCTGTAATCCAGATTTTATGACTGGCACCATTTTGTTCTCTAACATAAATTTTAATCACTGATGAGTGGCTTTTTGATTGCAGCTCCATTCAAAAGTTCCCTGTTTGTGGAGCTCTCTTCATGTTGCTTTGGTGCTAATGGTTGGCGAGTGCGACTTCCAGTTCAAGAGTCACTTTTGAAGCTACAGCCTTCTTATTTTTCATTACAGTCCTCTTCAGTGATCGTCTGTCATGATCACTCAGCATGCTTTTTCATCTGTGCTGTGATTTAGCATATGTGGTTCCTGGTTCTCCTATATGAATAAAAATCTTAAATACTCTGCCCCTTGAAACACCATACTTCAGCTACCTTAGTTACCAAAGCACCCACCATACAAGCCCCAATAATTCGCCCATGTTTGAATTCACTTAGCTCTAATGTGATGCAGTCAGAACTACACAGAACGCTGTCTCAATAATGAATGACACTTGCAATGTATATTGAGATGTTGTACAGGTGGCGTTAGTGAGCTAACATATCATGGCCACTAACAGCTTTTGTGAGAATAAACATTTCAGTTGAAGCATGCATTTGTATGAGGTGTTTCCATATTTTTGTCTAACCTTCTGTATATATGTGTGTATGATTGCAAATTTATATTACTTTCTTTGTATGGATTAAGTAAAAGAAATATTGTCAAAATGTTGTAAAAAGTTAGCCTTTTTTAGGACTTCTAAACTTTCTGAAAAAAGTGTAGTTCTTTTGCAATTAGTTCTTTTTATTTAAATATGTAAGATTATACTGGAAAATTAAAGTGTGAAGGGGGGAGGGGTATATTTCTTAATTTGAAGATTTGGTTAATCTTTGACATATTTACAGTTATTGCTTAAATGAATCAGGATATTATTATCATCTTGTTTCAATATAGAACGTCACTTTTGCCATTACAGTATGCCAGAAAGTTAGTCTTAAGATTACAAGAAAAGTTGTTATTTATTTAGGGAATCTTCAAGGAGCTTTATAAATACACATAATAAAGTGTATGAATGAGTATAACATTATGTTTTATTGTGAGGCATATAGTTGATAAATTCACATAATTTTAGGAACTTCATCCTTTAAATTTGTGCAATATATAGTTTCATTTGGCACTTGTGTCTAACTTAGTCATATCACTGTGGATTTGAACTAGCCTTCAAAGTTTTAATCAACAATGATGATCTTATGTGTATTTATAGTAATGATATCGTTATGGCAGACATAAATTTGGTTTTCTCTCTTCAATTCAGATTCCATATTTTATTGTTACAATTCATCTCTTCTTAGGAATATTAAATTCCATGTTGTTTTTGTGAGTGATGTATAACCTTATATGTGATTTAATGCATTACTACCCTTAGCAATGTAGTGAGATATAGAAAAAATAGCTTCTGTTTTCGGACTTGGCAAATTTGAGAGATGTATAATTATGTATTTGGAGAAAAATGACCTAGAAATAACAAATGGAGTGAGATTAAATATGCAAAGGTTAGCCAGGATTATAGGTGAATGGTAGATGCTAGTTGGATTTATCAGTATGGTTTTATCAATGAAGATTCGGTGATGCCATTATTGGCAACTTATTTATAGAATGGGCAGATTTCAGTTAATACGAAAATACCCATTCTGTTATTTTTATATGGGATGCTTACTTAACTTTAAACTTCTGAAAAGTCAAAAAAGTCAGAAAAATGTAAATAACTTCCAAAATGGGCAAGGAAAAACTGGAATATTTTCCCAGAAATTCAGGAAAGTTAAAAAAATACGGATGAATCCTTTCAAATAATTAAATAAAAGTTTATATTCGAAGTACTACATAATATATAAAAATTGCACATTTTAAAATGAGAGAAATAAGACGTTACTGCAATTTTTATTTTTCTTGCAGAAAATATTTTACTTACCACATATTTCATACAATTTATCAAACTGTAGCTCTGTTCTCCACCTGTTAACAATCTGTTCACTTCTTATAACTGTAGTGATCCCCTTTTTTTAGTAATGTAATTGTCCTTCAGAAATAAATAGCATAGTTAAAACATCATTTCAGTGTGTATTTG